GTTGACCAACATAAACAAGACTTCTAGATAATTGAGGACAAACAAATACATCTTTAACCTGAGGAGAAATGTCACCGATGGCAGTAATAGGCAGCTTATTACCATTGGCAGTTTCAATAGATGAAGAACCATCATATTTGCGAATATTAGTGAGTCCATGTACCGAAGAAGTCACGTGATTTGAGGCTCCAGACTCTAGAAACCAGTTAGAATAGGGTAAAGAATTACCTTGAATCCCCAATGCAGAGAAAGCAAAAACTATTATCTATTGTACCATTTCAGGTGTAAGAGCAGTGGCAGAAGCAGGGGCTGGATACGCAGCCCCGGAAACATTTGGAGAAGTGACCAGATCTTCTGTTGTAGCCTGATACGCAGTATTTTTTCGATGAGGTGGGCGAATGGAGCAATCTTTGATGATGTGACCGGGCTTCTTTCAGTAGCTACAAACCTTATTAGGGCAGTTTTGTGCGATGTGACCGTAATCCTTACAGGAATAACACTGTGTGGTACTCATGTTTCTGGAATGCGGCTTAGCTTGAGTGGAATAAGCAACTGAAGACTGACCCTGCTCCAAGGCAGCCTGAGTATGCAGGCGCTGCTCTTCACGAAGAAGTTCCCAGAAGCAAATCTCTAGAAAGGGAACTGGATTTCTGCTCAATAGTGAGGAGCGAATGGTTTCAAACTCAGAACACAATTTCATCAAGAATTGACTGCGGTGACGGGTCTGTAACATATCCCGAAGAGACTCCACAGCATCATCTCGCACTTCAGCAAGGGATAGGTCGATGTATTCAGACCAAAGTGTAAAGAAGTTGGAATAGTATTGTTGAACAGTGAGGGAGCCTTTTGGAAATTCGAAATATCCCACTCCAACTGAAATTAATGAGTAGAGTTATCCTTATGATAAACTTATCATAGATAAGCCCACATGGCTCGAGCTGTGCGATGAGGATGCAAGTTGAGGACAATTTGAGGATCCACTAACCCTAATATCCAACTACGAATTTGGGCATCTTTCACTGCCCAAGTAACATCCTCAGAAGCAGAGTTTTCTATCAAAGAGTCATACACATGCGCCCACAAATCCTTTCCTTTCAGGAACGTTTCAAATTGGAATGCCCAAGTAACATAATTCTTGTCATCCAATCGAGCACACAAGGTTTCTAATTTATCCATGATGACTAGAAAGTAATAAAAAAACACCAGAATGTTTACTTCCCGGAAGATTAGCACTGGATCTAAGGCTATAAAGCACAGATCTGAGAAAATAAATTGATCTGAGACAAAAAATGGCTACAACTAAGGTGACGAAAATCTGAGAGAAAACCCTAGGGAAATTTAGGGTTTTGAGCAGGAACTTGAAGAACAGGACTTATGGCTCTGATACCATGTCACAAATATTACCAAAGAATAATAAAACTGGGAAGAACTAAGGACTAGAATTGCTGAAAGAACTGAGATGCCTTCCTCAGTTGTATATTCACACTTATATAGGCAAGAAATAAATATATTTACAAGGAAACAAATCAGGAGTTCCTTCCTCCTCAATGCAAGATATTTTGCACTTAATATCTAACAATAACTTCTCTAATTACATACTTTCAATAAGTAATAATAATTTAACGGATCCTCTGATTCACAGTCCAATTGCCAAAGCTTTCAATCCAAATGGGAAGATTTTGCCATTTCATGTATCCGAGCTGAAGTATTGGGAAGGAAGGTGATAATTAGCGGGAAGAGCATGGGGCGGGACCGGGATTGGGCCACGGAAGTGTTATATTTATTAGTAGAGTACTTAGTAGAGTTAGTATGGGCCTAATTAGGATTTAATTATTTTAGGCTTGATTAAGGTTTCTTGTAGAAGGCTATTTATACCCCTCACCAGGGTTCATTCTTATTATCTTGGAATAAAATTGGTTTTAGTCTATGGCTCTGGGCAACGGTATTTTTATCGTTGATTATCTTGGCAACGGTTTACCCTGTTGATTTATATTTTTCGGTTCACAACGATTGGTCTGACCTAACGGATCACGTCCTGCCGGAATGACGAGATCAAACATTGATCGTATAACGGAGGTAGAAGCTGAGCAAGCCCTAATGAATGAGAAGCTTGACGCGCACGGACGGAAGCTAGATGCGTAGGCGATCCAGCTGACAAGATTGCAGCATCACTCGCTGCACTCGCAAGGGCCATGACACTGCCGGAAAAAGAGCCGACGTCAGTCGGCGATGCCGCATCAGCACACCTGGTCGGCAGTGGGTCGCGCAGCATAACGACCACCTTGCTACCCTCGTTTGACGGCGAAGATCCCATCGGCAGTGGCCAGAGCTGAGCAACAGTTTGAAATTCATCAAACCCTACCTGAAAGCAAAGTGGTAGCAGCTACGGTAGCCATGGTAAGGGCTGCCATGTACTGGTTGACCTGGTTGAAGGCACGGAAACCGGGCCTGACTTGGGAGGAATTCACAGATGCATGGGTGGCCCGTTTTGATTCACGGTTCAAGGGCAACCAATTTGAATGGCTGTCCGGGGCCAAACAGTTGGGAACCATAGAAGAATATAATAACCTTTTTGTGCAGTTGGCCTGGGCTGAAGGGATCGATTATCATTATTTGGGGTATTTCATGAACGGGCTGAAGGGATCGATTCGGGGATCCTTACGATTGCTCGGCCAAACAGTCTGGAGATTGCAATGGATTTGGCCAGAGATATTGAGGACAACTTGTCCTTTCAAGATGGAGACCGGGAAAGTCAACCCTACAACACGGACTTGCGTTCGGGCAGTTTTTTGTGCCCAAGTGGTAGTAACAGCACGGCCATAAGTGGTGACAGCTTAAGAGGATCAAATGGCAGCTTTCCTAAAGACATTGGGCAGCCTCCGGGGACGAAGTCAGGGCTGTCCGGGCAGCCTACGACACGCTCTCAGTTCACTCGTCTTCCGCCAAAGGAGTTCGCAGAATTGAGGGCGAAAGGATTATGCTTTAGGTGTAAGAAACCATTTACACCGGGGCATGATTGTCCCTTTAAGCAGTTGCGGATAATGATAGCTGAGGAGGATGGAGAGTTGGACCTCCAATAGCATGAGTACTGTGAAATAACAGGCCAGGAAAGAGTTCAGGAAAGAGATGAATGATATTTTCCGGTCTATTCCATGGTTGGAAATTTCAGTCCCCAATCTGACGTCGGCTCTTTTTCCGGCGGTGTCATGGCCCTTGCGAGTGCAGCGAGTGATGCTGCAATCTTGTCAACTGGATCGCCTACGCATCTAGCTTCCGTCCGTGCGCGTCAAGCTTCTCATTAATTTGAAGGAGGATGGATTGATAAGTAACGGGAAGAGCATGGGGCGGGACCGGGCTTGGGCCCACTTCCGTGGGCCGGTTACGGGCTGTCTTTATAGTTTATTTATTATTAAGTTAATGTTATGTTTTGGTTTGGGCCTTTTATTAGTAGAGTTAGTATGGGCCTAATTAGGATTTAATTAGTATGGGCCAGGGTTCATTCTTATCATCTTGGAATAAAATTGGTTTTAGCCTTTGACTCTGGGCAACGGTATTTTTATCGTTGATTATCTGGGCAACGGTTTACCCCGTTGATTTATATTTTTCGGTTCACGACAAAAGTGGTGCGAGGATGAAGTTGAATGGCAAGGATGAAGTTGAATGGCATGGTTGTTTCTTACTCCCCGCCTTGAGGACAATTGTATTTTCCGTTTCAAACTTTCATATCAATCTACGTTTGTTTTTCCGTTTCCAAATTGGTTCCAATCACATTCTCATATCATAAGTTGAAATTTGAGCTTCCAATGAAGCTGTTTTGTGACAATAAAGCTGCATCGCCATTGCAAAAAAAACAATTTAACATGACGTAACCAAACATATTAAGGTAAATCGACACTTCGTAAAGGAAAAACTCAATTCTGGAATAATTTGCAAACCATTTGTTGAATCCAAAGAAAAGATAGCAATTGTCCTATCAAATCGGCTCTTTAAACCAGCATTTGAATTTCTTGTAAAGAAGTTGAATATGTATGATGTATACGCACCAACTTGAGGGGGTGTAGAAAGTCAAAGTTGTTTAGTATATATTGAAGTGTAGATAATGTATTTTACAAAGTAATACATGTTTTTAGAATACTCAGCCAAAAAGGTTAAAAAGGTTATCCAGGAAGTTACTCAATTAGTTTTCTATTCTTCGGTAATTACTTTGTATCCTACTGTACTCTATTTAAATGTTTTTTACCAGATCAATAATCTCATGAAACTTATTTAATTTACCGAAGACTACATGGTGCTATGAACTTAATTGCTCCCTTAGTGTGCTGGCTAGCTCTTAACAAGTTTCCTAAAGGTACATGTCAGTTGTCATGGAGAAATATATATAAGCTAAGTTTAACGTGAGGTAGTAATACTTTGTTTTGCGTGAGGATATTTTACTTGGACTTACTTCAGTCTCAGACCAGAACAGAGCATACCAGACTAAAACAGACCACCACACTTAAATAGACCACCACACTTAAACCGTATAAATTATAAAATACACATAGACTAAACATCTACCCGACCAGACTATATCATATTTAAACAGACCAGACCAGAAAATTTCAATCCAATTAAAAAACATCCTCAGTCTGTATACCTATTCATCATTTCATTTGGCCATCAAAAAAAATCATGAAAGACTTTGGTTCACATTTGGTAGTTAGAGATAGGCACACATCAATTGAATGTTAGAAAGTAATTGGGTAAAACTAAGAAACTCTTCTCTGTTTAAAAAAACTAGGTGAAGTTGCAATAGGAAAATTTGGCACCCTAGCTCGTGTGCTTTATGCACTGAAATACAATTGGAAAAAAAAAAACTTAAGCATGACTTGTTTGAACATTTTCATTTTATTTTCAAGCAAACTGATTAGTTACTGATCCTGTGGTTTCATGCATGGGAGAGAATGGACAACACACTCATATATTAGATGTTAACAGATTAGATTTTCCAACACACTAACCTCAACTCCCTGCTGGCCTATTCGATTGCGAGAAATAAAATTAAGTATCAAGTCAGCAAATTCGTCAGGTGCATCTTCCTGCAAGATTCAGTACAAAATAAATTTTGGATTTCATTAAACCCAGAGAATAGGAGAAAAATAAGTGTGCGTGTATATGTACCTGTATAGCATGGCCTGTATGTCGGACAACCACCATTTGAAACTTCCCTTGCATTTGACCTATTGTAAGAGATCTGTAATGTGTAAATAAATACAGATTTGTAGTGGTATCATTAGTTTGAGCAGATCATCAAAGTTTTGTCTTTTATAGAATTGAAAACAAGAGAAACAAGCACTGTATTACTTCTGCTAATCAGATGTTTCGGAACAGTTCAGTGATCAAGAAAGCTTTATTGATGAGAGATGTATTTACAGAAGGAAAACAGTAAACAGGACCATTCGAGATGCCCAATCTCCTAACCCAAACTCAACTGAATACTTGCCTACCTCTTTTTTCCTCCCCTCCCCTTCTATTTATACTACATGTACACTTATTATTATTATTATTATTATTATTATTATTAGTATTATTATTTCTATTATTAGCCTAATAGGCCCGATTCCTATCAATACTCCCCCCCCCCCCCCCAAACAACCATCTTGTCCTCAAGGTGGGTGATAGGAAACAACCCCAAACTTCAGCTTCCCATTCACATCCTTAGGCCTCTTCATTCCCAGTCCTTCACCGTTTGCTGGACAAGGAGCTTCCATACTTGAATCTTCCTCCTCACTTCTTCTAGCAAAAACCTCAATAGATCCACTATCTTCAGAGCATCAGTACCACTCGGGTGGCTTTGTTCATGCTGGATTTGAGTTTTACCAATCACCAACTGCTCAATCTTCCCATTTCTAACAACTCTTGCCTCATGATATGACCCCAGCTCTTGGATTTCAATTGCTCCACTCCTTGAAATTGTAGTATCTGACATGAAGTACTCCCTGGGACTGACAATAACAGCAGGAAAATCAATTAACTGATCAACCACAATGGCAGATTCAATTTCAGAATTGATAGATGCCAACAATGACATGAATGGTGCAGAACCTGCTGCTGTTTCTGAGTGTGGATAAAAATCTGGCATAAGGAAACTCTGTACGATACTCTTTGCCTTTTGAACAGCCTGATTTATAAATATCATTATTTTTAATCAAACATTTGGAAAAGCCTCTTGGTAGGGCAGTCATAGAAACTGGATTTCCATTATAAATCACCCACCTAGGACCAACAACAAGAGGTCCAATATAGACTACACCCGATGTATCATATTTCTTGTCATCTGTAGCCTTGATCCCTTTGTCAGCAAATACCATCTGAAACCGATAGTCACAGGCTACACCCCCATCTGGAACAAGTATACGGATTAATGGCATTTCCTTAACGTTTCCCTTATCATTCCCAGTCAATCCTACTCCCAACCCCTTTCGGATATCTTTCATAGATATCCCACCGTCAATTTTGAAACCCTCAAACTGATTCAGCCCTTCTAACATTCCCTTTGATGAAGGGTGGTGCACAAAATATATTAGGACACCCAACTCTAATTCATTAACTCTACCCATCTCAGATTTAAAATATTTAGGGTATTGGTCTAGTGCACTAGCAAACCTTCAAACTTCATAGGTAAAATTATCCGATTTGCGCTCTTCAGACTCTCCTAGATTATCTGGTGAATCAACGTTTTCTGCCCCTTCCTGAATATCATGCTTCGTCTCCGATTCTTGAACTGAAGATGTAGACAGCATCGGCTTCAACTCCATGTTCCGTGTAGGTGGTGGAGTTCCAAGCAATGAAAGTTGCGCCTGATGAGAGACGAGTAGCGAAGACGAGTTGTGAGAGTCCGCGAGTAAGGAAGTATGCGATCTTGGAGAAACGACTGAAGATGACACCTGCGAACTGATAACTGATCCCTGCCGACGAAGACCACCTGTCACTGACCGCTGAGAACTGAGATAAACAGTTCGCGACTGCGACTGCGACTGCGAATGGGGAAAAGAAGTTCGCAATTGCGAACTGGTCACCGCTAATGAAGTCTGCAAACTGAAGGTAGCTGTCTGGCGAGGTTTTCCGCCATCGTTCTCATGTCTGTTAAGTTCTTCTTCAGCAGGTGTCTGCTTCCTCTCCAGCGAATACACCCTATTCTCCAGCGAATCCACCCTCTTCTCCATTCTTGCTCTGATACTGTTAGGAATATAAAATAATGTTACATACGTTTATTGTATATAGCTTGGAACCTTCTAGATATACCTTAGGCTGTTAGTGCTGTTATACAGGCTGTTAGAGTTAGTTACTTGTATCCTACTATAAATACTTGTATTGACTCTTGTAATCATAATAATTGAAATCTCCTACTTTTCATCTGAGTTCATTTTCTAATATGGTATCAGAGCTTTAGCTCGATCAACCATGCCGGAAACTGATTCAACTTCATCTTCAACCTCCGCTGCTGGAAGTGTCGCCTTTCCAGTAGCGTTCAATCACCCTCTTCCAATCAAATTAGACTCGAATAACTATCTTTTGTGGAAGCATCATGTTGAGTCTGTGATTCGCGCGCACAGACTTGTTCGGTTTATAGAGAATTCGAAGACTCCAGAGCAATTCATCACAGATGAAGATGGAAATGAAACTGTGAATGAGGCTTACACTCACTGGGATTCACAGGATCAGATGTTGTTCGCATGGATGCTTTCGTCTCTATCTGAAACTCTACATGCTCGTATTATTCATTGCCAGCGATCGTATGAACTCTGGAACACGATTCGCAATTTCTTCCAAGCTAACATCGTTGCTAGGGCGAGGCAGCTCAAGTCCGAACTCTATAACACTGGAAAAGGGGAACGATCCATCTCAGAGTACCTGCTTAAAATTCAGACAATTGTTAACAATCTTATTCTCGTAGGTGAACCGATCTCTAATAAAGATCATATCAATGTCATACTCGAAGGATTGCCGCAAGATTATGAATCTCTTGTGTCCTCTGTAACTTCTCGAAGCATTCTCGAACCAGTTACCTTAACTGAACTTGAGTCCTTGCTTCTAGCAAAAGAGATGAGACTTAAGAAACATCATGATACTACTCAGCAAAGCATATTTTCTGCCAACGTTGCTCAAGTTGATAATTCCTCTCAAAACAATTCATCTGAAATCTCTGTTTCTGTTGAAAATGCCTCTGCAAATGTTTCTCAGTATAATAATCCAAATAGTGGTAATCCTTACCGCGGACGTGGTCGCAGTGGCTATTACAGAGGCAGGGGTGGTCGCTCTGGACGTAATTCTATCACTTGTCAAGTCTGTGGAAAATCAGGTCACCATGCCTTGATTTGCTACCATAGATACAATCCTGCATATACCAATCCAAACCCTAATCCTTCTTCTCAAAACCCTAATTATCCAAATCAAACATCTGGACCTCCATCCTACTGGAATCCCAACTCACAATCTCACTATCCTCCAAATCATTATACTCATCAACCTAAACCATATACCTTTCAATCTCAGTCTATACAATCAAAACCCAATCAGTCATGGAATCATCAGCCTACCAATCCATCTCCACCTCCTGAAACCTTCAACTGGGGACATCAGCAACCTTTTAATACTCCACCAATTGCAAACTATGCCACTGCTAATCATTCTGTACCTAGTCCTATTCCATCTAATCAACATTGGTTTCCAGATTCAGGAGCAACTCACCATGTTACTGCAGATCCACTAAATTTCCAGCACAGTGAGCCTATTGCCACATCTGACAAGCTCTTCATGGGCAATGGACAAGGTTTGGATATTAAGTCTATAGGTTTTTCTTCCTTTCTCTCACCTTTTCACTCCTCACAATCACTCTTACTGAATAATATACTTCATGTTCCTCATATAACCAAAAATCTACTGAGTGTTAGTCAGTTTGCCAAGGACAATAATGTCTTCTTTGAATTTTATCCTCATGACTGCTATGTCAAATCTCAGGTTTCTAAACAAGTCTTGTTGCATGGAAAACTTGGTGAAGATGGCTTATACAAGTTTCCTTTCATTCCTCTTGGTTCATGTCAAACTGCTGCAGTCCATCCTCCAGCCTCTTTAGTGTCAACTAATAAATCTGTGCATCCAATGTCTTGTTTGTCATCATGTAATAAGTCTCAGTCATGTAATTCTTCAATTTCATGTAATCTTTGGCATCTCAGATTAGGTCATCCTCATCTTGAGGCACTTAAATCTGTACTTAAACATTGTAATGTGTCTTCTATAAATCACATTGATGTTGATTTCTGTTCTGCTTGTTGTCTTGGGGCACATAGACTTCCTTCACATCCTTCTAATATTGTTTATCATAAACCCTTTGAAGTAATATTCACAGATCTTTGGGGTCCAGCACCCATTGTATCTTTTGATGGATATTCCTATTATATAGCCTTTATTGATGGCTTTACAAGATATACATGGATATATTTCCTGAAAAATAAGTCTGATGCTCTTCTAGCATTCCAAAATTTCTACAACTTGATTCTCAATCAATTTTCAATATCCATTAAATCTGTACAGTCTGACTGGGGAGGAGAATTTAGATCCTTCACTAATTTCCTCAATGACAAAGGAATCACTCACAGAATCATATGTCCCCACACTCATCATCAAAATGGTTTGGTTGAAAGGAAACATCGCACTATTGTTGAAAAAGGTCTCTCAATCCTAGCCCATTCTTCTTTACCTTTTAAGTTCTGGGATGCTGCATTTGCAACCTCTGTGCACCTTATCAACAGAACTCCATCTAAGTCCATTGCCAATTCCAGCCCATATTTTAAACTTTATGGATCTATTCCAGATTATTCTTTTCTTAAAGTCTTTGGTTGCACTTGTTATCCTTTTCTCAGACCTTACAATAAACACAAGTTTGATTTTCACTCAGAAGAATGTACATTCCTAGGATATTCTTCTCAGCATAAAGGCTATAAGTGTCTTTCAAAATCTGGCAGAGTGTACATTTCAAAGGATGTCATCTTTCATGAATCAAGTTTTCCCTATTCATCTGTATCCCAATCTTCTATTCCCACAACCAAACCTATTCATAACTCAGATTCTGCCATATTAACTGTTTTAGACTCAAATCCTTCTTCTGGTTCTAATTCATCTCAATCTCAGTCTCATAACTTCTCATCAAATAATTCCCAGCACACTGCCTTGCAACCCATCTCTTCTAATAATCACAATCAATCAGCAAGCCATTCATCTACTCCTTCCACTCATAATTCTTCAGCAAATTCCAACAACTCTACTCCCAGTCCATCCCTACATCAACAAGCTATTAATCAACCACCTTCTCCTTCATCATCTGACTCTACTTCCTCAATTTCAAATTCTGTTCATATAACTAACACTCATCCTATGCAAACTAGATCAAAATCAGGAATTATTAAACCTAGACTTAATCCTACCTTGCTGTTAGCACATGTTGAGCCTCAGTCAGTGAAGCAAGCACTCACATCTCCTCAGTGGTTCTCTGCAATGAAAAATGAGTATAATGCCTTGATAGAAAATCAAACATGGTCTTTAGTTCCTTTACCACCTGACAAACAAGCTATAGGCTGTAAATGGGTCTTTCGAGTTAAAGCAAACCCTGATGGTTCTCTTAAGAAATATAAGGCCAGATTAGTGGCCAAAGGCTTCCATCAAAGGTTTGGATTTGATTTCAAAGAAACATTTTCTCCAGTGATCAAACCTATCACTATCAGAATATTGCTCACTTTGGCAGTTTCTTATCATTGGTCCATTCAGCAATTAGATGTCAATAATGCCTTTCTCAATGGAACACTTGATGAAGAAGTCTACATGGTCCAACCCCCAGGCTTTCAGGCACAGGACACCACTTTAGTCTGCAAACTTCACAAGTCATTATATGGCCTAAAGCAGGCTCCTAGGGCCTGGTTTCAAAAACTGACTTCAGTTCTTTATACAGCAGGGTTTCAGCAAAGTAAATGTGATCCATCTCTCCTATTCTTCAAGTCTCGAGGAGTTCAGATCTACATATTAATATATGTAGATGACATTCTGGTCATAGGCAATGATTCTAAAGCAATTCAAAACCTTATTTACAAACTACACTCATCCTTTTCTCTCAAGCACTTGGGTGACATTGACTTTTTCCTAGGAATAGAAGTCAAAAAGCTACCTGATGGAAGTCTTCATCTATCTCAAACCAAGTACATAAGAGATTTATTACATCAAGCTGGCATGATTGATTCCAAAGGAGTAAAAACTCCCATGGTTAGTAACTGCAAGCTAACCAATACAGGAAGTGCTACTCTTCCTGATCCCTCCACTTACAGATCCATTGTTGGCATGCTGCAATATGCAACTCTTACAAGGCCAGAACTTAGTTATGCTGTAAATAAGGTCTGTCAATTCATGGCAGTACCTCTACAAGATCACTGGAAAGCAGTAAAACACATTCTCAGATATCTATCTGGTACTATAACACATGGCATCATCATTAAACCTCTACCTCTGAAAACTATGCCTTTACCTATCTTTGCCTTCTGTGATGCTGATTGGGCATCTGACCTAGTTGACAGAAGGTCTACTTCTGGATCATGCATTTTTCTTGGGTCAAACATCATCTCCTGGTGGTCCAAGAAACAACTGAGAGTGGCCAGATCCTCTGCAGAAGCTGAATACAGAAGTTTAGCAGACACTGCAGCTGAACTCCTGTGGCTTCCGTTCCTACTCAAAGAACTTCAAGTATCATTCTCTACTCCAAAAATCTACTGTGACAACCTCAGCACTGTACAGCTTGCCCACAACCCTGTGTTACACTCCAGGATAAAACACATGGAGATTGATCTCTTTTTTGTGAGGGAAAAAGTTCAGTCCAAGCAGATTGAAGTGTTCCATATTCCTGCTTCCCAACAAATTGCTGATATTCGGACAAAGGCTTTATCTGCATCTTCTTTTCTTGAGTTAAAAGCCAAACTTAGTGTGATTGACCGACCTTCCAAATCAATCACCCTAAGTTTGAGGGGGGAATGTTAGGAATATAAAATAATGTTACATACGTTTATTGTATATAGCTTGGAACCTTCTAGATATACCTTAGGCTGTTAGTGCTGTTATACAGGCTGTTAGAGTTAGTTACTTGTATCCTACTATAAATACTTGTATTGACTCTTGTAATCATAATAATTGAAATCTCCTACTTTTCATCTGAGTTCATTTTCTAATAGATACCAATGATAGAACACTGGTAATTTGACTAAGAAATCTTACTGAAATTGTAAAGAATTAATCAAGAAGATGATCAAGAAAGCTTTATTGATGAGAGATATATTTACAGAAGGAAAACAGTACACAGGACCATTTGAGATCCCCAATCTCCTAACCCAAACTTAACTGAATACTTGCCTACCTCTTTTTCATCCCCTCCCCTTCTATTTACACTACATGTACACTTATTATTATTATTATTATTATTTCTATTATTAGCCTAATAGGCCCGATTCCTATCATTCAGAACACCATTTAAAAGCTTCATAACAAAGTATACTTCTTTTAGAGTCTATAAGACCGTTGAAGTTAATTAAATATTAAATCCTGTAAGACTCACAAAAGAGAAATAACAGTATTGTGTTAATTGGACTTAGTCGACCTACTAAATTACATTACTATTACTAAGTAGTTGTTAAGGGCACGGGTAAGTGATCTTGTCCAAGAGCGAGAGCGGGTAGCCTGAATTGAGCGATCACAGGACATAATCTATTTTAGTCAAGTGTGAAGAGAGGAATAAAACTAAAGAGGCTTTAACGGAATTAATCCGATCTCCGATTTAGCCAAGAAATCCCAAAGTTTATTTCTCAAAAGATGTTTATTAATTTACCTGAGAACCCCTTACATAGATATTAAGGGTTGCCTTAAACAAAACTGGAAATTGAATTGCTATTCTAATATAACTATAATAAAGGAAGAATATTAAAAGTAGGACTAATTAATATTAATACTAATACTAATAGGACTATAACTGTTTGCTTTGTCCTTTTCTTTAGCCACTTTGATCATAAATTGCATTCGTCCCACACTGGCCTGAGTGGCCTCTTCGTTTATACGTGTGACCGTAGAACTGGTCGGTAAGAGTAGTCCTTTGAAATGATCAATTTCAACCATACTTGTCACGGGAGCTAGGCAGGGCGCGGCACCAACCGACCGCCTTATCGCCTAGGCGTCTAGACGCCCGCCTAGGCGACAACTAGGCGACAAGTAGTGCCATATGTAATATTTAATAGAAATTGTCCAATATAGGAGTAAACATAAACACAATTGCACAAATAGGAGTAAAACTCAAAACTTCCTTCAATACCTCTAAGCTAATTAATTCTAAAATATGACTTATTTGTGATCCTATTAAAATATAAAAAAATTCTAAAATATTTTAGAAAAATATTAAAATAATTAAAATTAAAAAACAATTAAATAAAAAACTTTAAAAATATATAAATGTAGATAAACCACATTAAAAAATATAAAAAATTATGTACGCCTTTCCCGCAGCCTCAGCCATCACCCAGCAATGCCACCTCCGATCGGGGGAAATGTCATTTTATGTAAAAAAAACTGCCATTAGATAATATGCAATAGTATAGCATACGTTTGGTAACAAAGATTGAATTTGGTTAATGGACTCCAGGCCTCCAGTTGGACATGAAATAAATGAAAGAGTACAAGAAGTTTACTGTACATAAACGTGTACATAAAAATAGAAAAATGCGTAATACATTAAAAAAAGATATGGAGTCCGGCTCATAGATACAGGGATAGCCAACATACCCTCATTTTCTGTTCCGGATTGCGTGTACCAGATCGCAGTACAGTTGCGCGCCGGTCACTTCTGGTTCACGACTCTGGTATGGTGAATTCCGGTAGCAGTTTGCGGCTTCCTTCCAGGTGGTACGCCGTTCCCACGTTGTGATTCGCACATTTCCTCCAGCAGCCAATGAACCAACAGTCAAAGAGTCGCGATTCGTGAATTACTTTTTCCAAGCGACACAGGGTCGGCGACAAACTCTTTACTCTTTGTAGTTCGAACTTCAAAAATCTAAACGAACTCAAAGTCTGAAACGGCGTTGCCTTGTTTAACACCGTGCCATAACAAATGGTACAGCATCCCGCGTACCCAAATAGCGTACTGAAGAAGCCTCCCCCTCCCCCCGCATATCGGATTTCTAATATTCGCGATCCGCATTCCCGTTTTCATACCGCGTACCGTAGCGTACCGCAATTCATGTGACTATGGTCCAGCTGTCTGTCTAACCAAACAAAATCCAAAAAAATAAAGAACAGCCAACGACCTTAAAAAGGGGGACGCCGAACGAGCGAAGTAAACAGAGGCGGAGGTGGAGCAGCTGCGCTATACAGTGACCTGAGGCAGTGGCGTACGTGGCGACTTCAGTCAGTGACTCGAGTGACGGGATGAACTGTTGATGGGTCTAGGGTTCTGGCCGACGGCTTAATTTTAAAACTCAATATCTTCTCTAACCTAATATTCGGGGTCAAAGAGGCATTGGGCGTCGCCATCAACGACTTGTTGATGCCTAGTCGACACCGAGTTACGCCTTGGCAGCTCCAGGTGAGTCGAGTAACCATGACGCCACTTCTCCACCACCAGGACGACTAGTCGGCGCCTAGGCGACGCCGTGACAACAATGATTTCAACACTTGTACACCTCTTCAGAAATAGAAAAGGCCCCCAACTCCACCCTCTGGTTCTGACAAGTTCAAAGAGGCTGCTCATCAATCTTCATGGATTCAGATACTACTGGAAGCAATTCCTTAAAAGAAATGTGGTCATAGTGAATTTTTCTTTCAAATATTTTTTCTTCTACTTCATGTTTCCTATTTGATAAATCTAAAAACGAGCATGCTAGTATCTTAAAGAGCCAAACTGAGCATGATGCTACTATCTTAAAGAGCTAAACTTCAGTCTTGCATGATCACAAACTTCAACTGCTTCTACATTGTTTACCAGCATAGGTTATGACTGTTTAGGCTCACAAAGAATTCTCTTTTCTTTTAACTTTGGCCAAGTCTCCACAAAAGTTTAACAATGAGCACCAATGGATTCATTAAAAAAAACTATTGAACCTCTCCAATAAGCTGAACCCTGACCTGTCCAATCTGTCTGTCCCAGCTAAAAGCAAGAGTTTAGGTACAGGACTTGACAAAAAAACTTCAGAGAGACCTTCATACCTGAAATGCAAGTATAACCACATCGAATTTCAAGCTAAATTTTATCAACATACAAACTCAGCAAGTAATGAAACTAAATAAATCATTTTAAAACCCAAGAATCTAAACTGCAGACCATTAATACCCAACACTAAATGGTTCAACATGTGAAAGATATTAGAATATAGTTTAGAATATGCTTTAGAATATATTAGAAATATACTCTAGATATTATTATTGTATACCATCTTATATAGGATTATTCTATCTTTGTAATCTATATTTATAGGGACTTAACCATTTTATGAAATACGCAGAAAATCTTTCTTCTCCTCTTCAATATTATTTTAGTTTATATTTTAACATGGTATCAAAGACATTACATTCCAGCCAAATTTTAAAATTCTTATTATCCTAATTTTACAGTCGAGAGCCTTAACCTTCCTCAGAATCTTCGTTCCATTACAACCTAATTTTACAATGCAGAACCTCATTCGGAACCTTAGTCAGAACCTCTCACCTCCAGTCAAACCAGGTACGTCTGCCGCCGGCGACCACTCTATTAAAATACAACAACAACAACAACAACAACAACATCCAAGTCTTACTCCCAAAAAAATTTGGGATCGACTAACATGAATCGATCCATGATATAAGTGCCAAAAAGAGAAGAAAGATAAGAGAAGAAAAGTAAGATAAAATGGATAAGATGATAAATACTCCCTTCGTTTCAATGGACTTTGCCAACTTTCCTTTTTTGTTTGACCCAAAAAACTTTGTTGCTTTCCTTTTAAAGGAATGAATTTGTGGTTTTATTCATTTCTCTCGCCTCTGCGCAAACCTCAATCACACATTTTTATTATTCTAATTTCCCACCAAACCTCAACATGGCAAAGGCAAAGCTAAGTGGGACGGAGGTAATATAAGATAATAATAACATAAGAATATCAAAAAGATAAAAGATAAAAAGATAAAAGAGCATAAAAAAGATCGAAGATAAAAACAACATAAGAACGTGAAAAGATACTGGGAACATGAATGTGACATTGCGTCACCGCCCAATACTCTACGTCATACATTAATGCAGGCCTAATTGTTGTTCGGTAAAATTTACTCTTTAGTCTAGTCAGCATACCTCAATCGCATAGAAATCCCGATGCATTACTTCATATCGTCCACCCAGCTCTTATTATATGGGATACATCTCCATCTAGTTCACCATCCTTCTGAATTAGGGAGCCCAAGTAACGGAACATATCACACACCAGTATCTCTTTACCATCAAAAGTAATCCCACTGTTACTACTACTTGTACCTCCACCAAACATGCACTCCGTATACTCAATCTTGTTTTGGCTCAATCTGAAATCCTTGGTCTCCAATGTTTGTCGTCATACTTCCCACTTTGCTTTAACACCAACTGCGTCTCATCAATCAATACAATATTGTCGGCAAACATCATGCACCACGGTATATCTTCTTAAATTGACTTCTTAAGTTCATCATTGACTATAGCAAATAAGAAAGGACTCGGAGTCGATCCTTGGTGCACTCCGATAGTAATAGGGAACTTTGTGGTGATCCCTACACTAGTACGGGCACGTGTAGTACAAGACTCATACATATCCATGACGATACTGATTTACTTACATGATGTCTTTTCTAGTTAAGACCCAACAAAGGACTTCTCAAGGTACCCTATCATATGCTTTTTCTAAGTCAATGAACATCAAATGCAGATCCTTTTTAGTGTCTTGATACTTCTCCATAACTTGTCTAAGAAGGTGAATGGCCTCAATTGTTGAGCATTCCAGCATAAAACCAAACTGATTCTCCGAAATTTTCACACTTTTTCGAAGTCTTTGTTCAACCATTTGCTCCTAAAGTTTCAAGGTGTGACTCATAAGCTTAATCCCTCGATAGTTGGCACATCCTTATACATCACCCTTATTTTTGAATAGAGGAATGAGAGTACTCGTCCGTCAGCTCACTGGCATTTTGTTGTTTCTCCAAATCATGTTGAAGAAACGTGTTAGCCACTCAATGCCTTTCTCTCCCAAACTCCTCCAAGTCTCTATCGGTATGCGGTCTTGGCCCACTGCTCTCTTCCGTCCCATCTTTCTCAGAGCTTCTTTAACTTCGGTTGTTTAGATCTTTCTCACAAAGTCCCGATTTACCATACATTCTGGTATGGTAAGATTAACAATACCTTTCACTTTATTCTCGTTGAACAAGGTATCAAAGTATGACCTCCAACTCTCTTTTATTTTCTCGTCCTCCACTAGTACCCTTTGATCGACATCCTTCACACACTCTTTTTCAATATCTTGAATCTTACGATCATGAAGGCGGGCAAGTCTGTAAATATCTTTTTCTCTTTCCTTAGAGTCCAACTTTACAGTTTACAGCTTTCCCTCTTGCTTCCTTTACAGCTTTCTTTCCTTTTCTTCCCGCCTCTTTGTACACCTCTTTGTTCTCATCATTCCAACTCTTGCCCAACTTTTTGTAGCATTCACTTTTGATCTTTATTGCTTGTTTCACCTCATCATTCCACCAAGATGTGTCCTTTTTTGGTGGTAGACATCGTTTGGATTCTCTGAGTATCTCCTTCGCCACTTTGTTGATGGTGGACTCCATTGATAACCACAAACCATCCACATGTGTGTCATTATCAATACACCATACATCTTCCTCTAACATTTGGTGTGTAAAACTTTGTTGGATATCCCCTCGAGCCTTCACCACTTTATCTTTGGCTCCACTTATACCTTAACTCGCCTTCTCTTCTTACCTTGAAAATCAAGCACGAGCATTCTATTCCAGGTGACAACACTCTCACCTGGGATAATCTTAAAATCAGTGTAGCTAGTTCTCCGAGTCGGTCATACTAAAAAATAGTCAATTTGGGTACTATTAGCTCCATTTCTATAGGTCACAATGTGAGTCTCTTTTCTTGAACCAAGTGTTCATTACAGCCAACTCGGCGTGGGCCCAAGTCGTGATGGTTTTTAGAGTATCCATGGCGGACATGGTTTTGACACTAGAAATGAAGCGGGGAAGAACATTCTGGATTTTGCCTCAACATATGAGTTGGCTGTAATGAACATTTGGTTCAAGAAAAGACTCTCTATTGAAATATGCACCAGAAAATCATAGTGCGCCATCCTCACGCGCAGCCGTCAGTTTTCACCATCGTCGCACGCGCCGTCATGAGAGACTTCATAGCACACTGGATTTTTTGCTTCAGAACCCATCGTGGAGGTCACCTGAGTGTCTTTTACAACATCGTGAATGTGGTCTCTCATTATAGTGTTGAATCAGAATATCATGTTATGGCACAATCGGCATGTGAGATCATCTGGATAAACCATTTATTGAGTGAAATTAGATTGAAGACACCAATGATTGTTAAACGGTGGTGTGATAACCAAGTTGTTATACACATTTCCAACAACCTGATGTTTCATGAGAGAACAAAACATATTGGGTTGATTGTCATTTCATTCGAGAGAATATACAACAAGGATTGATCTCTACAAGATATGTGAAGACCAGAGAACAACTTGGAGATTTGTTCACTAGAGCACTAAATGGAATTCGAGTTGGTTATTTATGTAACAAGTTGGGCATGCTAAATATTTATGCTCCAACTTGAGGGGGAGTGTGAAAGATATTAGAATATACTTTAGAATATGCTTTAGATTATATGAGGAATATACTGTAGATATTATTATTGTATAGCATCTTAACCCTTCAATGAAGTACACGTAAAATCTTTCTTCTCCTCTTCAATATTATTCTAGTTTATATTTCAACACAACACAACCATAGAAACCCATGAGAACAAGTGAACAACAATAGAAGGCTTATTCTTAAGAATCTCTTGCATCTAAAAAATCTCAATTAATTAAATCATGGTCAACAAAGTAATGGCCAATGGCAATCTGAGGGTACATAAAAGTTAACATTATTCATGCCAGAAGACCAAGTATTTAAATGTTCACATAAACATCTCCATTGACTTTGAGGTAAAAAAAAAAAATTAAACTAGCTTCAGTACACATTTGCAAGTAATGTAGCTAGAAATATAATCAAAACCTAGCCGCATTATCGGTAATTAAGATCACACTTGTGTTTGAAAACCTACAATGTTTGTATGAATAAAAAAGGAAGCGCTAAAAATGAATGTGAAGAAGAAAAGTAAAAAAAAAACCTCAGCAATTTAGGTATGTCGTATCATAGAAGACCTTATTCAAATGAAATATGAGATTATGAAAAGAAACTCGTACCAGCCCCTCCAATATTGTTCAGTTTCTTCTAGTCTTGCTCGATATGTGTAACTGCAGCAAGATATCCATGATAACATATTAAGCAGGATTGACATTAATTAATTAACGCTACACAACTAGTAAAGAAACATTCCATAGTTACAAAATTTTAATGTTGGGTAGGGAGTAGAGAAGTGGAGAGAGTTATAATATCAAGGGAAGGTTGTTAGAGCTTGGAGAGGAGTGTGCTAAGAGAAAGGGGGGAGATGGACAAACAATGTCAGAACTTAGCAATTAATATGCACACCATTTCTTTGAGTCATCATATATCAATGTGCTAGGAACTGATATGCGAGCAGAGTCGACATTTCGTAGGGTGCCACCTTTCACGCTCCATTCAATCTACAAATATACATATATATTTCCAATCAGTATCATCATCTATAATGTTGTCAAGAGCACAGATGATGGCATGCTAAAATAAAGCGCAGCATTTCTTTTCATAAAGTAGATTGCAATAGTGTATTAGAATAACGAAGTCATTATAACTTCAGTAAAATCTCTCCACATTATTGATTTCAAACAAATAAGATTTCAAGATAACTTACCGCTTTTTCAAGGGTTGAGAAATGCTGCATTCTGTTTGATAAGATCTTCTGCATATGAATCAACGAGGCCATTGCTGTCCCCTGCAATTTTAAGAAACTAAATATTTTTGTGGAGCCATATAACTAATTAAATATAAACATAATGCAGGACAAAAAGAATTTAGACCTCAACAACATCCACAACAATTAGCCCAGCCAAAGTAGATAGAGCTTTTTTTGCAGCAACATGAACAGCAATGGCACCTCCCATACTGGTGTGTGTTTATAAAAGAATATCAGTACGACAGTCGCTATATACTTTATAATTTATGAGCTCAGTGCAACCTGTGGCCAACCAGCACAATTGCAGGTGGAGAATCTCCATACATCATCTTACAAACAGCCACCACGTCACGACATAATGTCTGCAACCATTGTAAACAACTTGACCACAAACCGGGAACAATAAAAATGAAAGAAAGATAAGAAAATTGTAATGATTAAAACCTCAATAGATAAATCAACTTCATTCTCTGTGGATGACTTCCCATGTCCCCTCAAGTCCATGGCTACTACCTTAGATTTCTCCTTAATCTTTCTTGCAGCTAATGCAAACGATAGTCTGGAAAAGGACATATATTTCACAGAAGGGTAGAACTCTCATGTATATTAGGTACTACTTGTGTAAAGGGAAAACTATATCACTTGCATGCAGGAAAAAAAACTTATATACAGATGATGTTTAACAGTATGATCAGTAAAGCTGTTCAATTCCATAATCCATACAAGTATAAAAATGAAAGCTTACAAACTAAAGAAGTGCCAAACTACTGAATTATGAAATAGAAATATATTTTAGGATGACTTGTTTACAGTTTCCCAACAAAAGACAATCTTCAACATACCCAGAATAGCCGCCGCCATGTAAGCAGAAAACAACTGGCCCTTCAGTCCCTGCCAAGTAAACATGAAAGACCTGAATCACCAAAGAAAAATAAAACATTTTTTAATGTGGAAGTAGAACTGTAGAAGAGAAAAGCTTGTTAGGAATCAACAAAAAATACATTACTGAGAAATATGCAAAGTGAAAATTATTCCAAACGAACAAAGTACACTAACATCATTGGAGTCTGAGATTTGTATGTCCTCTTCCCTGTCAAAGTAGTCAGACCAATCTAAAAGTTCAAATTTTTGTGAAGAAGATCTGCACATATAAATAAAGACATGAGGTAAATTTTCATTCAAACTGATATTTCGTTACTATCAACGAGCATTAAATCAACAAAAACACCTTTCAAAATATAATGACAATTCCATATCAAATGAAGAAACCTAACTTGTAAACAAAAATTAAGTATTAGGGAGGAGAGGAAGGGAACAACCTAGACAGACATTGATTAGAATGGTCAAGAATGATATGATACTACTTGGGTTAGATTGAAAGTATGAAGTTGGAGGGTGAAGTGGAGGGAGAGCCTGCATGAGAAGGATTGACCATATATTGTTGGTCTCCCTCTTTCTCCATCTAACGTTTTTAACTCTGGTACCATATGTCAATTCATGTCAGTCAACCCCAAACTCTTTTGAGAATAATGCTTGGATGTTGTTGATACAACCTCAATTCCATATCAGTGTTATAATTCACTACAACAACAACATCCAATTTCATGTATCAACATTTTATAATTCCAACGTAGTTTCAAAATATGTAAATTTTAATTAACCATTCTAATGTAAATATTATGTGAAGAGAATTAACTTTATTCTCGGTCAAGACTCTGATATGGACCTGAACTTAGGGCGAGAGAAGTTATAGAAATAATAGAAGGAATAGAAAAGGGAGAGGGGCAGGCTGGGATTTGGAAGAATTGGGATCTGAGAGAGAGGTCCTCTCGAATTGGCCTCCGTTGTATTCCTCTTGTTTTCTACAATATCGATAACATTTCTACTCCTATTTTCTGTGTATGCATCATTGGTATCAGAGCAGTGACGATCGATCTACCAGTGGAAGACCTTCAACCAATCTAGGATGGAGAAGCAACTGGAGAAGATAGAGCGTGACCTAGCGGAGGTGCGTACAATGGTGGACGAGCTGCGCGACTTGCGCACATCGATAGATTAGAAGCGCAACTTACACTTTCAGAAATTTCGTCGGAAAACTAGAGGACGATCGAGAACAAGTCGTCAACAACTTGAAGGCCATGGCTCTTCATCATCGCAGGCAGATTCTGTCTGATCGCAGATGTCATCGCAGGTCATCTCAGTCGCAAGCAACTTCTCCTAATTCGTCAGCTTTGCGGCAAGCAGAAGTCTCCAGTTCGTAGTCGCGGACGGCTTTTCCTAGTTCACCATCGCAAATGGTTTCTCCTTGTTCCCACGTTCCGTCCAAGTCACCAGCAGTTTCTTCATGTTCTTCTACTTCACAGCAAACAGTATTTCTCCGTTCTCAGACTCTATCGCAAGCGGATTCTCACAAGCCGCAAGCTGCACCGTTCCGTTTGGAGTCCGTTAATAAGCGGCAACCGCCATCTGAAGGTATTATCTCTCCGCGATCCAGAGAGAAATTAAAGAGAAAGAAATGAGCGTTCCAATTGTTTCTAAAAGTGTTGACACTGATGAAGTTCAATTTCAATTGACACTGAAGTTCAATTTCAGATTGACACTTCCACGCCTTATTCTGTCCATATTAGAGTCTATCAAATGGTAAAAGAGTTGATGCTTGCTGCTGATAGGTCAGTCTCTGAAAAGAGACTGAACAAGTATCCTACCTACTCTCTATTGAGGTTTCATCCCAGCCCAACCAAGGAGATGTTTGACTCCTTGCTCCCAACTGCTGTAGATGTAGTAATGCTTGGTGAGGTACCGGCAGTTTCAGATGCTAGTGTCCTGATTAGAGGAACAGATGCCTGCGGGCCACCATTGTCTGGGATCTTTAAAGTAAGAGTGCGCAAACACATAAAATTTTGTTCTCGGTTTGAACCTTCCAGGTATGAAAAGGCAATAGATGTAACTGCTTCACAACATGATCTGCAATTGCTCCCTGGTGGTGATCTTATTGAAATTGGTGAAATAGGAGTCCATATTAGTGGAGGCCAGAATCAAAGAGTATTCATGGCAAGAGTTGTTTATTCTAATTCTGAGGTCTAGATATTTGATGATCCTTTAAGTGCAATGGATGCGGATGTGGGCTGCAAAGTTTTCGGAGAAGGGTGCATAGGACTTTTGGTAGACCATGAGTTGAGCAACAACAAATCTGTGTCCAACACATTGATAGTTCTAGAAGAAAGACCCTCTGAGGAGCCTCATGGAAACAAGGGAGTATTTGTCATTATTGAGTGCTCGAAGGCGACTGAAAAGAAGGAAACTTTACTAGACACTATTTCTGATGCAAAAAAAAAAAAAAAAAAAAAACCTGGAAAATTGAAGGATCAAGTACTGAAGATCAAAGTTCAGCAGCCAGCAAGGTACTGAGAAGGAAGGAGCACGAGAATGAAGCTGAATGGAATGGCTGTTTTCTTACTCCCCACCTTGAGGATAAGGTGGTTGTCCAAAGGGGGGGTGATATGGACCTGAACTTATGCCCTATGGCGAGAGAAGTAATAGAAATAATAATGAATATTTTGATGAAGTGTAAAAAGGAAGTGGGCTGGGCCAAGTAATTAGTTAAATTGAGGAGAAGCCTCATTGGAAAAAAATAAATAGAAGGAATAGAAAAAGGAGAGGGGAAGAATTGAGATCTGGGAGAGATAGGGGCCCTCTCAAAATGGCCTCCGTTGTATTCCTCTTTTTTTCTACACTATCAATAATATTTCTACTCCTACTTTCTGTGTATGCATCACATCATCCGAACAGGAACATGAAAATGGAACGGGGGAAGTAGTGAAGATTAAAATCTAAAGGATATCTTCAGAGAGAAACTAGTATCTCACCCGTGCGATGCACAGACATGAAATTTAAGCAAAACATTTAAAAAATGATTGTTATATATTAAAATATACATAGAATAAATCTATTGCAAAAACAAATTGTCAATTGAATACATGATGAGAGGTCATATTATGGAAATATACTATAGGCGTTCTATATATTTGGAAAACTTCTTTACACAAAACATTTTTAGTTTTCTTTACTTTTCATTGCTACTATACTATCTACCATCAAAGTTTTTAATCCTCTTGATTGGTTACTTGAGAGGCTGCTATGTAAAACTAACCTACAAAAGACTGATTTTAATAACAATTCGACATGGGTGATAGATTGACCCTCACTTCTAATTGTAGTTATAGCATAAGTAATGATTATTGGAAATTATCTTCTCCAAAATTTAAGTGGCAGTCTCAAGTCTGGTAGATTTTGGAATCAAGACCCCTTGATACATGTTTCTCCTTGTGAAAACTTTTGCCTCTAAAATATGGCCACCAAAACGTGTTCTTATGAATCTATTTATTGAAGAAGCATTATTGGAGTGCCCACTTTCACAGTTAGTTCATGATTAAGTAGATTAGAATTGAAAGCCAACTTTGTTCAATAATTATATTCATTTATGTAATTTGAAATAAATAAGAAGGAAATTCTTCAAAAGTTAGCGTTCTTATTACTAAATAATTTATAGTTTATTTGTTGTTAGCTACTAAAGATAATATTTGTTTTAATATGTTGTTTTAATATGACCTTTTAATATGTCAGGTCAGATGAATCTTAAATTAACGTATTACTGAAGCATGTATCTAATTTAACAAATTAACCAAAGAAGCATATCCACCCAGGTACCAAAACACAAACTCACATACTCGTATGTAATACGGAGTATCAAGGAATTTTCTATAGGGTTAGAGTAGCCGGTGGTTGAATCGTTCCTCACCCCAATCCTGACTTCTCTCTTTCGCCCCAAACGTTTAAATATAATCTACTTCTCTGCATCTACCCACAGAAAGCTGCCGTTATCAACACAAAAAAAAACCTGATCTATCCAACATAAATCTCTCCATCTACCGTCAACTACTCTATCTGTTAATGACAAACTTCTCTTGACTCATACAAATATAATACACCAAATTTTCGATGAATTGGATGTTACCTTTCACCTTCACTGGTAACACGAAAAGATATGTTAACTTTGTTTAGGTAAAAAATGGAAACAATTCATGAGTCAAGAGATTAAAAAACGAACATCATGCATGTTTTCGCTAGCAAGTCATAAATTAAATACAAACAATGTCCTTGATCTTTAAATATGGCCTTTTGTGTTTGGAGATCTGAGAATTATGTGAGTTCATGAACTTCAAACGGAAAATCATAAATCACAAAAGCTTCAGTTTTGTTAATAAATTGCCATTTGAAAGCATTTTTTGCCGTTCTGAATGACATACGGAGTATAATTTTCTTTTACTCCGTACAGGTACAATAATATTGTTGATGGCATACAAATGGCCTTCCCTAAAAACTGGTTGAAACTTCAACATTTGGTTCTCCTTGGTATGGATCAGACATAAATTTTAATTCCCTACACTAAACAAAGTAGATAACGTTTAGAAAGTAACACAAAAAATGCAGTGAAAATATAAACAAAACAAATTTACCTTCTCAAGATGAAATTTACATTGCATTGCACTACTGACCATGAGTTGGAACGTTGTAAAACATCACATGCAGTTTGCTATAGAGAATATGCCATATATATAGCATTGAGAAATTTATGGTGCGAATGAATGAGACTGGGCAAATTTATATATACGCATATTTTTATCTGTATGCCTTGAGCGTACAAAAATACTAATGCTCTTTGATCAATCCAAGAACAATTCGGCGGAAGTTATAAAGTCAGAATTTAGAACATTATAAATTGCCTATCTAGAATCTTCTTAGCCAAAGTGAATATTAAATTTTTTTGTTTCCAACATTTCTTGGAAAATGAAATGCTGACCTAACATATTTTAACATCTTGACTTTCGCAGAATTATTAATAAAGTGGTTGATAAGGTAAAAGTTGTGGTTGAGATTTGAGGATAATAAAGTGAAATGTTGTGGATCACGTATTTCTTTCCAAAAAGGGAAAGGTGACACTTATTTTGGGACAACCCAAAAAGGAAAGTAAGAAAGGATATGTGAGCCAAGGAATACCAACTTGAGAGTCAATCACGAATTGGACATTTGCTTGAGAAGAAACTGGATATGTGTTTTCTAGTCATCATAGACAAAGCACTTTATAACATGAAAAAATAATATATGAAAATCAATAAACCATTCAAACTCCTAAGAACATAGAATGTGGCTACATAGCCTGCCATAATAGTCTATTTAAAACCGATTCCCAAGAAACTGTTACATGTTTTGACTCTTAAAGCTAGCAGTAAACATTTTTAGAGGAATATGACATCCACCCAAATCATCACGATACTCTGCCAGGTAGATGTACTCTGATATTTGCAGAGGCACGTAAACAATCAACCACTTAGTTGGCTAATGAAAAAAAATATATAAGTTCAAACATGAAACAACTTGCAATTTCATGTAGTGTTGTAGTGGTCTAATAATTTAATCTAGCGAATGGTATGCTTTAAATTTTGAACTCACTTGGGCATGTAGAAAAAGTGGTTCCTACACTGATATCTTGAACAAATGAATCCTAAACTAAAATGTACATATCTCATAGTCTCTATGAGAGTGAGTCCTAGCCATTAACTTTTAGAGAAGAGGTTTAACCTGACAGATTGTGTAGTTGCCCAAACACTTTCCTACAGATTGCAGATGAGAAAGCTAAGGTAACTCTCTGCTCCGTGCACTTTGTTTCTCGCTGTTGACTTGTCTCTTTACGCCACGTATCCCTCAGTTGTTTGTATTTGTATCTTTCTATAACCTCCCCTTCTATAAGAATGTAAGCTACTGAGTACTGACACTTGTTCAGTTCTCACTTGTATATACAATATTTTCCCATGTAAATCAATCATACTGATTCCCAATTTGTTTTCATTTTACCCATGGATTGATTATGGAAACAGCTAAATGTTTTCGAGTGTAACAGATTGAGAAATCCAAACCACTCCGAGGCTCCAAGCCCAAGATGGCCGGACCAAAGTCAAACAGAAGTCCAAATGTGTCCCACGAATATTCTACTTACATGATAAATAACAAGCAATTGACCATATCGTTCACGTTCGAATGGCTATAAGCAACACCAATCATCCCATTGATGACACTTCGTTTTTAAAAAAATAAACATCCCTCACGCGCATGCATCCGAAGAGAACTTACTGAGTGGGAGGACGAGATGGAACGGAAGAGAAAGCGGATGGGACTTTGTCGTCTGCGGTAGCATCATGATGTTGGATTCCCTCAGAGGGTTCTTCTGGAAGCGGTGGAAGGCTTGAAGAATCCATTCCATTGGTCATGATCCGTTTCAAATAAATATCTGATACGACGGAAAGCTCATCAGCTCTTTAATGAAAACATTGATAAATATCATAAATTTAATAATTAAATCTTAACAATAAAAAGAAAATTTAATAAGAATCCAAAAAAATGAATAATGTAAAGGCAGCAAAGTGTAAAACCTGGGCTGGGCGGGTGGGCAGCTGCCGCTGCGTCTCGGACTAGCCGAACTGGGCGAACTGCGAAGGGTGCAGGCGTGGTCCGGTGGTCGTGTGGCGGCACCGCGGCGTGGAGATGGTCAGGCGGGTCGGAACTCGGAAGTCGTGGTCTCGTGGAGGGCAGAGGCCGTCGCGTGTCGAGGCGTCTAGCTCTGGACCGGGAGATTGTTTGTGATTGCCGGACTGCGTTTTATGAAGTTGGATCTTTTAAAAAACGACCAAAACGACGTAGATTCGAACCGTGTACCTCAGCTAGTCAGCTAGCAGGCAACTTCAAAAAACGGCAGACGTATGGTTCAAAATAGAATTAAAAAGTAAATTATATTTTGATAGCACTAATTACATGTGTATTTGATAAATATATTTTTGTTGCTATTAAAATGTTTTAATTAATAATAAAATAATAAAATATAATAATAATTCGTAAAAAATACTAAAAATTTAATTAAAAAAATTAAATAATACTCACTCCGTCCCTTAAAACTTTGGCACTTTCTTTTTTAATCAATTATTTTGTGGTTTTTGTTATTTCTCTCCTCTGCACAAATCTCAACCACACAGTTTTTACTTTATTATTCTTCGTGCCGATCAACTTTGGCAAAGTTTTAAGGGACGGAGGTAGTAATAATTAAAAGAAATAAAAATTAAAAAAATAATAAAATAAATAAATAAAGCAAAAAAAACACAGCCGCCTCTACCACCCCAGCACAACCATCTCCGGTTACCGGGGACAAAAAATCCACATGCATTAGAAATTCCATATTATGGCAGATTCAATTAACATTTTGGCATTCTCAAAGAGTAATATGTCATTTTTTGGGCATTGTCAGAAAAAATTGCATTTTTACACCGGTCAGAGGTGCTGGTGCTGGGAGGCAGTACAGGCGGTGGTAAAGGCATCCATATTTTTTTAATTTTTTTATGATGTTTTACTATTTTTTATTAATTTTTAAAAAAATAAGAAATTTTTTTTAAAATCTTTATTTTATAAATATTTTATTAATTTTTTATTATTTTTCTACGATTTTTTAAATTTTTTGAGTTTATTATGAATTAAACATTTAATTATGATTTTTGACTACCTTTTACTCATATTTAAAGGAAGGATAAAAATGGAATGAAAAAATAGGTATGTTTCAAATAGGAGTAATCTATTTTTAAATAAAAACATAACAAGTCTTATTTTGAGTTTTTGTCATAGTTTCAGTCCTATTTGGAGTAATTTCCGATGGGAAAACTATCATTGTGCCTCCTAGGTGCAATTTTTTTCTCCATTTCTTTCTTCTTTTGGCTTCCACGGGGTTCTCTAATAACATTGGGACTCCGGTTCCAAATGTACAATTAATGTACAATCGAGGTCTCACATTAATATAAAAAATTAAAAAATAAAATCTCAATCTGTATTAGTGTTTACTTACTTAATGCTTGATGAATCTATAATTTTCTTCCTTATTAACTGTATTTTAATACTACGTATATAATACTACCTCCGTCCCGTTGGAAGGTTCTCATAGCAAAACGGCACGGTTATTTAGACAATAATTAAATAAATTACTTCGAGTATATTTTGAGAAATAATTTTAATAGGTATGTATTATAATGTAGTTAGTATTGATAATTGTGATGTTATAAATGTATTATTTTTAAATCTAATGATTAATTTGTCACTTCAGATTGTTAATTGTTTCCTAAAATGGAAATGAGAACCTTAATATGGGACGTACAAAAAGGGAAAGTGAGAATCTTCTAATGGGATGGAGGGAGTAGTACTATAGGAAGATGATCATCCGAACACGATGAGTACGAACGGAGGCTCATCCTTGGATGACAGGGATCCCCCAGCTTGGCCCACCAAGATGCTCGGCCCGGTTTTAGGCGGGAAGCCAAGATACTGGAGGGAACAACATTAAATGCAGTAGATTTGGTGGTTGAGAGTGAGTCATTCACAATCTGCCACATCAGTGACTCCACCTACCTCTCTATAGTATAAATAGCAGCATTTATTTCATTATAAAAGGTTGGCGACGTCTTAGCATTCAAGCATCATAACATTTGTAATCAGTTCTTAGCATACTGTTGGACGAACGATCTCAGGACTTTGTAGCGAAGTGCATTGTATTCGGCTCCTTATTGAGACTTAATAGGATGTGGCTACTTTCTACTAGACCTCTACAAAAACGGGTTCGGGCCGGACTCGGGCCGGACTTTTTATAATTTTTCTGTCCATCATGTGTGGGCAGGCCCGGCCCGGCCCACAAAAATGGGCCTAACCCTATGTCCATACCCACCCATAAGAGCGGGTCGGGTAGTCCACCGAGCCGCCCGGCCCAAGAAAACTTTAATTTTTCAAAATTATATGATTTTTTAAATACTTTAAATATAATATTACAACATTTAAAAAATAATTAATACGCTTATAATATTTATACGTCTTTCACCACATACAAAAAAAAATACTTGCACAAAAATAATAATGAGAAACTATATCTAAAATTTAAAATTTAAGTACAAAGTATTATCTTTAAGTACAAAAATAGATATTATATTGGTTGGGCTAGTTGTTAAGAACTAAAAATTTAAATTTAAACATAATAAACTATAAATATATATAACAAAAAATTAGTAAATATAAATATACATGTGTATATGCAAATAAATAAATAAATTAGTATATATATAAATATATATTTATATATACTAAATGTAGTGGGCCGGGCTTATCGGTCCGAATGGGCCTACACCCTAACCTAAACCCGCCCATATCCTATTGCGGGCCAGGCTCAGGCCGGCCTGGTGAGTAAATATATAAGCCCAAGCCCGCCCATTTGTGCAGGCGGGCCGAGCGGCCCGGCCCGGTTTTGTCTAGGTCTACTTTCTACGGCTAAATAACCTTGCTTCTCTTGCTTGTTTAGTCACTTAATCCACCAAAACCTTCTACTCGAGATCCAAGGGTACGTGTTGGGCCTTTGGGTTGACGGAATAAACCTCGACAGGTATAATTTAAGAAATTTTTATTAAAAAAATAAGAAAAAGAAAGTGAAACAGAAGTGATGAAGCAGAAATCATGATGTTCAATTATTTGAGTCCTAATACTAAACAGAATAGGTCTGATGCTCATTAAAAGTTCATTAATGCTAATTTAACGGAAATGGAGACTAGTCTTGTTATGAACCATTAGCTTGGTTTACAATTCATGGGCTACTCATTTAACTATTTAACTATCATGATGTTCAATTATTTGAGTCCTAATAGTCTTGTATACTTTCCCCTGGTATTAGTGAATAGTCTTGAAATTATTAAACCTCAATATTGAGCAACACATTTATGGGCTACTATTATCAAGTGTTTGTGATTTTGTGGGGAATTTTCTCGAAATATGAGTAAATAGATTTTAGAATTCCAAAACATGATGGATATGTTATTCTTCCCGGAATAAGAGTAATATGATTGTATTGACTGTCATCTTGTAGTCATTAGTGCCAAATAGTTGCAGTACTTGCCTACCAGGCATTTAACATAACGAAATTTATTGTTATTAATGGCAGTATTTTGAATCACGGTACAAACACTGCAAGAAAAGCTAGTTTTAACTAAGAAAATTAGGGACGGGTAGATAACCCCTCACTAATAATACTATTTGTAGAGCTTTCATGACTCGTATTTCTGAAAGAAAAACATAATAGTCCTATTTTAGAATTTCAAAAGATATTTACTCATATTTAGGATAGCTCCCCAAGTGTGTTAGAATGGTCCTTGGCCAAGCAAACATGGGGGGAAGGGATAGTCATCTATCGATGTAAGTAGGCAACTAGGCATATTTGCTCCATACACTTGTGCAATTTCAACGCAGGTAAATGATGGAATAGATTTTTGAGAAGTAAAGAGTTTCTCCCTAGATAATTGTTTCAAATGTTTGGATGAATAAACCCTAAGGGGATAAGTCAAACAAACACCATCACAAACAATATAGGTTAAAGCTTTAAATCTTTTCTATTCAGATTTGCCATTATTCACATCACAATAAGATTTAGAATCCTTAGCCTTTTGATTAAGTTTCTCATGTTTGTTAACTTTAGCACTGAAACGAGAAAACACGGATCTAGAGTCATTAGAAGAAGACAAAGAAGAATGATGTGGGGCAGAGCTAAATGAGTGACAGTTTGAATTTGAACTTTCTTTAGAAGTGCTCTTGAAAACAAGACGGGGTAGAGGTCATGTCTGGACTAGGGGCATTTTGAAGAAGATAAATCTCATTTAAAATCGTTCTTTTTCTGTTTTGAAACCCTCTCTTTCAGTTTCAAAAGATCTATGAAGTTCAGCAATTTTGTGAATGGTCTTTGGAATGCAAACATTATCATATTTGGGTTTTTCAGAAAAAAACTTGTTCTTCCCTGCAAACACAGACTCAGACTCACTTGTGGGAGAAAAAAGTGATACATAGTCATTAGACAGAGGAATTCCGCCTATCTTATAACTAGCATTCAATTGAGTGTAGTCAAACGAGATTCAACCTTAGAATTATTTTCTCTATTTTCTTTTTCCTCAACATCAATTTCTACCACTCCCAATGAAGGACATAAAACTACGGCATGGAAAACCGGTCGGTTTTTGGTCAAAATCGATCGGCTTTCAAGAATATTTTAAGGTATTAATTACGGTAGAGAAAACCGGCCGGCTTTCATGGAAACCGGCCGGTTCACGATGAAATTATTATCGGAGATGAACCAAAGGCATGAAAACAGACATGTTTCATATAAACTGCCCGGCTTTCTTAACTTGTGGTCACAAAGTGGGCCTTAAGGGGAAAAACCGGGCAGTTTAGGTATAAAGCCGGACGAATTTTACCTTTACTTTAACTTGGGTACCCTTTTGACCTTAGGAACAATACCATAAGCTAGCTAGGGAGGGTGTCTTACATGGGTTGTAGATGTAGGAATGCTGAAGATTAATGGGAGGAATGCAAGTATCCTTATCGATATTAGGGTGCAATGATCATTCGTGAGTAAGGTGTTCGCCAAGGAATTTGATGAACCATCAATACCGATGACTCAAACCGTTATGGTATCCAAATTGCAACCACCAAGATTATTTGGATCATTACTCTCTTCGTTATCCCTCTCATGATGCCATTTGGAAACATTTTGATATCCCCAATCACCGGTTGGATGGCAATTTGAAGGACAACATTCTTAATTGCACCAAACACAAAAAAATCTTTGTTATTCTCCACTATCCTTTGGAACCTTTGGAAAATGAGAAATGTCGCTCTTTATGAGGAT